AGTGATTAAGGGCGATAACTCTTGCAGTAATTATCGGAAATCGCTGAAAGTCAATAGGTTTCTTTGTCTCATGACCTTAAACACTGTGTATAAATTTAAAGTCAATCAGATATTAACTTTGTCCACAAGATATTTTGAACTGATCAAGGGCCATAACTCTGGCAGTAATTATCGGAAATTGCTGAAAATTAATAGGCTTCTTCATATCATTACCTTAAACACTGTGTATAAATTTAAAGGCTTTCAGATATTAACTTTAGCCTCTAGAACGTCCACAAGCAATTGTGGATGCCAGACAGGCGGACGGACGGGGGCGACGACAATATACGTCCACATTTCGATGTGGGCGTATAAAAATTCATCAAAAAATATTTGTTCAGATTTTGATGGAGCACGATAAATAATAATGCACCGAATTAAATTATTTGATATAGATACATTGGAATCAAGGTATTCAAAGCTGTCAAATTTATCACCAGTTAAATTACTTAAAGAAATAGTTGATTTATGGATTAAAGCAACACCGCCACCCCTTTTGTGTCGAGGAACATTAATTATTGAAAATCGGGTTGGTACCAATTCACAAATTGATGAATCAGAACTATCCGAGAGCCACGTTTCAGTTAAAGCTAATAGGTCCAAATCGTTATCACAGATGATGAATGTGTTTATAACTTGTGTTTTATTCATAACCGATCGACAGTTTAATAAGCACATTTTTGTATTGGCTGAACCATTTCTATACTTATTAATAGGTTTTTAGGATTAATAACTGAAGTAACAACTGAATCATACGGTTCGTAATAAGGCACTTGATGTGACGATGTTTTGTTTTTCGCCGAGTTGGTTTGTTCATTAAAATGTACTTATCCGTGTCCTTTAAATCTTTATAAATCCTTTTGCTGACATTGAGTGGTACTCTGTTTTTAAATTGTAGTTGTTGAGATTTTGTATCCTGAATGAGATGAGAGGATCTCACACTGTCATTATCAAATCACACTTAAGAACACAAACAGTTCACTGATTGTTGATACAGTCAATGTCATGCTTCGTTAGCCACTATTTAATATCAATAAAATCTTAAATTTACACTTATAAAGCTACAATATTCCAATTTTTAAAAGTACTTCATATCCACAAGTAAAATCACATTAGATTTGGACACTGATTAAAATGAGAAACTAAAAGAACAAGAGAGAGATACGGAGGAGCAGCCTTCACCCTCAACTCTCAACTTAATTATATAAAGATATGTTTTAAGTTTCATCAAAATCGGATCAAAATTGTGACCTCTAGGAAGTCAACAACCTTGATATGGACACAGATCACTAAAGATTTCCCATTGACTCCAATGTTAATTCTCGTATCTTAGACCGGCTCTAACTTTTTCCCAAATTTTCGTTGGGTAGAACGCTTTCTACCACAGATGGAGCAACATGTGGCAACCACTTGCCCAAAAGCACGTATGAGGTTCTTCATGAAAAACTTGAGATACACAAGCTGGAAGTAGAGACAAGTAAACATGCAATTTCAGGCCCTACATTTCAACGTAACCAACCTCTCAACTCTTGTATCCTTCCGCATCAAAATTATGAATATTCACCAAAACCTGGCAGGAAATGTATTTTCAAACCCTTTTCCTCAATTCTACACCAAAAAGTCAACAAAAATCGCCATGCAAAAGGGGGAAAAAGGAAAAGGGAGAGGAAGACTAAAAATAGCTTTGGCCCTTGTTTCGTGGGTGACGGCGTAGGAATATTTGGTGATCTGTGTCCTATATAGGGGTGAAACTTCAGGGATCACCAAAAGGCCTTTTTTATTTCCTTCCCATGTGTTCTGGCAACATGCCGGTGAAAGAAAATCAAAATCAAAGAATAACTGTAAAAATGATGGCCCTTTAAGTACACATGCTGCTTTATGTACACTGGTGCATCTCAGGTCCATAGGCCTTTTGTGCTAAAATTTAAAAATCTTTCTTATTAAAGGCAGTATCTGAGTTCTGTGAAAAAATTAGACAAGTAACAAAGAAACTACATACAAAACACTCATAATTTGGAATTTTTTTCAAAAATATAATTTTTTACTGCCATGTGATGAAAAATGTACAAAATTTACATGTAGCATCTCTCAAAATACCAATAATTTTCCACTTTTTTAAATATCCGGACGGACAAGAAATATATTTTTAGAATCTGTGGACAATATGCAAACAGAAAAAATGCAAACCAGTTGCAATGATTGTAATATTAGAGATCTATACTGAAACATGTATGCCTACCCCCTGAACATGCCACTGATTGAATTAATCTAATCTATGGTTGCAGAACTTACATTACCAAAGGAATCTGTCTAACAGCTATGTTTTACCATCCCTGGCTAACATATGCACATATAAACTAAAATAGGTGCAATAAATATGAATTATGGTTAAAAATAGGCCTTGATGAATGAAAAAAATGCCATATTTGGTCTATGATCACCCCTCTCTAACAGAAGGGTCACAGAATACACAATTTTCACAAATTTGGGAATATTTCAATGTTTCCAACATCTCAAACCTCAGAGGCATGTTACAAATTTGTATTGCAATCCTTGTGCTGAAGCAAGATGTCTGGAACTTTACATTAATTTCCTGAAAAAATGAAGTCAAAAAAGTAGTCATGACAGACTTGACAACATAAAAAGAGGCCTGAAAAGGAGAAAAATTAACATTTTATTGTTTTATAGGCAACATAAATGCAGCAAACACCACAAATGCTGGATTTTGATAAGAAAATATTGAACATTAAACTGACATTTACACATCTACACCAGTTTTATATCTGGGTCTGGTCTCATTGGCCTGAAATGCCTCAGGGTTCTACGTTTGACTCTGAACAAATAAGGGTTAGAAATCCTTGAAATGCACAAAAAAAATATTTTTGGGTGAAAAATAACATTCTTAGCTGTAATTCAACCACAAATTCCAATTAAGATCATTTACATGTCAACACAGGTGCATTTAAATCCCTCAAAACACATTAATAGAAAAGGGTGGGGTGGGGCATTTATTGCCTCTCTAAACAGAATGATGGAGTAAAAAATGTCTAGAAAGGCTGGGATATTGCTTCCTACATGAAGGAAATGCAAGAATTTAATGTTTCAAAGAAGAAAAAAATGCTTATTCTGGGTAAAATAGTGGCAAAATTGAGCCAACCCCTGTTTTGAACATTTTGTACAAACCCATCTGCTGTACATTATTAACTCAGTGTTACCAATTTTCAATTTTCTGTAGGAAAGCTGGAGCTATTTCTAAACCTGACAAACATGTAGATCCCATCTAAGTTATATTAGCAAAGAAAATATGGGCATTTTTAGACATTTTGACTCATTTTAGTAGTCATGAAAATATTAATTTCTACATCCAAATGGGGGGAATCTCAAGATTTTTTGTGAATATTCCTGATTTTTAGACAAAATTTGGTGAAATTTCAATACTGTTCATTTTATCTGTGCTTTCTGAGACTGAATAAGCCAACATTGGGCATTAGAATATTTTACTTACTGTTAAAAATTCAATAAAAATTGAAAATTGAGAAATTTGCAGTAAAATCACAATTTTTCTACAAAACTTTGATTTTTTTTTTTTAATTAACTTTTTTTAGTTTTTCTGTTGTCAAACTATTTTATTCATATTTTCTGAGAATTTAATCTTCATATTTTCAAAACTAAGGCATATCAGTGACAGCCTTATCACACACAGACAGGACACAGATCACTAAAGATTTCCCATTGACTCCAATGTTAATTCTCGTATCTTAGACCGGCTCTAACTTTTTCCCAAATTTTCGTTGGGTAGAACGCTTTCTACCACAGATGGAGCAACATGTGGCAACCACTTGCCCAAAAGCACGTATGAGGTTCTTCATGAAAAACTTGAGATACACAAGCTGGAAGTAGAGACAAGTAAACATGCAATTTCAGGCCCTACATTTCAACGTAACCAACCTCTCAACTCTTGTATCCTTCCGCATCAAAATTATGAATATTCACCAAAACCTGGCAGGAAATGTATTTTCAAACCCTTTTCCTCAATTCTACACCAAAAAGTCAACAAAAATCGCCATGCAAAAGGGGGAAAAAGGAAAAGGGAGAGGAAGACTAAAAATAGCTTTGGCCCTTGTTTCGTGGGTGACGGCGTAGGAATATTTGGTGATCTGTGTCCATATACCATATTTTTACACTATTTGCGTACAAGGGGCTGCGGCCATTATGTCTGTCAGTTTTAGTCCGATTTTCACGAAATTCGAACTCAACCATCATTAGCGTATAACTGTGATATATTCACACATTTTTTTTATAAATCGGATAAAAATTGTGACCTCTATAGGGACCACAGGCTAAAAACGTGATTTTTCGTACATTCAAGGGCCATAATTCTGGAAATTACGATTCCATATGCGCGAATCTCGAAAGGAACCAAGATCTTTGGGTTATAAACATGCATTTCAAGTTTCATCAAAATCGGATCAAAATTGTGACCTCTAAGAGTGTCCACAAGCTAAAAACGTGATTTTTCGTACAAACAGGGGCCATAATCCATGAAGTTATGGTCCGATACATGCCAATATCGAAATGAATCAAGATCTTTGGGAGATTGACTTATATTTTAAATTTTGTCAAAAGTGGATAAAAATTGTGACCTGTAGATTGTCCACAAACAAATTGTGGACGGACGTCTGGACAGACAAAGAGGGGCGATGGCATAATACGTCCACATGAAAATATAGACATATAAAAATAAACTGCATTTTAAATCAGAACTGCATCCTTTCGGCTTCTAAAGGTTATTGCTGCAGGAAACAAAGCGACTCAATGAGTAAGGGGCAGGCTTACGGCACCTAGTCGTTCAGATGAGACGAAAAATCGAGGTCACATGAACATGTTAGTTTGCACATAAAAGAACTCTGACAATTGGAATCCGATAAATCAGCACTCTATGTGAGCACTGCATAGTTTACCTTAATAAATAATTTGCCACTTCCATGACCCAACAATTCATGTAGACCAACTTGTACTTCAAATGCTGGTAATTTCAGTTTTATGAATAAATCCTGTATTTAAAAAAAAATGGTTGCTAAAATTATGTACAGCAATACTTCTTTTATATATTGTTATTAAACCTAGTTTCTTCTTTAATACATGTCTTAAAAGGACACAACCGTTTTAATCTGGGTAAGAATTAAAACATTGATTTCTATTTAGGAGATCAACACCGACTGTTTAGAATGTAGAGGACTGTTATTGTCCATTTGATACCGCTTCTAACGAAAAATTTAAGCGGTATCAAATGGACAATAACAGTCTGATCGATTCTAAACAAGAGGTGTTTATCAATATTGTAGCCCAAAATATTTAACAATTTTCCTGGAATTCTTTCCATCGCGATGACTGACGGTCGTTTTTTTCAAAGTCGTATGAAATGAAATGAAATGGGGTTTAACGTCCTACTCTTCTGCACCTAACCTGGGCTAATTGAAGACGGGCATACGCCATTCAGTGTGCTATGAGGGAAATTTTGCCCGGGCAGCGGCGCTACGGCCTACTCTTATATCGAATTCCAACTGCCAAGGGATCTTTTACGTGCACGCCAATGTGTACACGGGAACTCAGTTTTTCGTCCCATCCGAACGACTAGGCAGTTGTCCTTGTCAGGCCCTCCATTCTGCATCACTGACAAGGGGAAACCACGCCGGGAAATCGAGATGAACTTTCTCGGCCAATGCAGGGATCGAACACCCGACCTCCAGGCTAGCGAGCCAGCGCCTTACCCACGTGATCCCCTCAAATTCGTATATAGATAAAGTTGCGACAACTGTACGTGAAGCTATAAATTTCATATGACGTCAAGTGTACAAAGACGCCATATTGGGTCACAAGTAACAGTACCTACTCACTATAATATGCCTCATTATATTGCTGTGTCGCAGTTGGATAGATATTTCATAGATTTCCTCGCGAAGAAGAATGTATAGGAGAAATAAAAAACCAAACATTGTTTAAACAAAAGTATAGCTGAACATACTATTATTAAGCTTTCATATTTCACATGAAAGATTATTGTTTCTGTTATTATTTATTTTTTTGTTGTTGATCTCCCACAAATTATTATATCTCACAAATCTTATATCTCAGAGTCTAACCATGGAATCTTTCTGAAACCATGACTCCCCCCCATCCTCAAGAATGGGTGGTGGATGTGGATTAAAACTATTTTCAAAATGTTTTACGAATTCGAAATCACCAAATTTTACGAACGAAAAAATTAACAATATTTAAGTTCATTACTTCTCAAGTTTTTTATATTAATAATTATTTTTGTCGATTAGGCCAACTTTGTCAAAGACGGGAAGCTTTATTATCGGATGATGGGTGCTGATGAAATTTGGGATTTATATTGTAATGAACAATTTCAAAGTCTCGATCATACTTTATTTAATCATACAAAAAATAGTTAAGTTCCCAATGGGTGGTGTGTATTTTAAATCCGCAAGAAGCGTGACCCAATTATTCATTCCTTAAACATCGAGTTTGTGTCTCATTTCCGAGATAAAATAGCACTCTGCATTTCCCGACTGACATGTATCTACCCCAAGTATCATGACCTTTGAGGCATTTTAATGGGTAACATTTCTATATCCGTGACAAATCAAAACCAATTTCGTCCAACAAACGATAACTAAGCAAAACTGCCCTGACTCCAAGTCATGTGGATCGCAAAAGATATTAGTCAACAGAATAGATATTGATAGATTTTGTGTCAAACCAAATGTCAGAATATTATGTCCGACCAAAAATTTAAAATGTCAGGCAAAATGTTCATCCAGCCTGACATGGTGTCAGACATACATTTGAAAGTTATTTCCAGGCTTGCTTGTGTTGTCATTTCGACAGTGTGATTTTTACTTCCCAAAACACCCTGGGTATGTAAATAAGTCTCTGTCCTATTCATATCTGTATCAGTCTGTCTTGTATTTTTTGTTTAGAATATATGACCATCAATTATTTACGGTCCATAGGGTGTTCAATAAATTGTAGTATTTTTTTTTATTCACTTATTGAAAATCTTTGAATTTGACCAGTCTGATTATGACCATAGCAACCATTATTGTCAGACCAGCCTTGAAATGAAATTTACTTATTATCTTTCACATGTATTAGGTATAGAATTTTTTGTCACTGAAAAGAGTCTAGTACCCAGAAAATATTCATTCGCAGTGAGTCGCCCAAGAAATTTAGAGGACTGTTATACTCATTCGACACCACTTTTCGACCAATCTGAATCCAAGAAATTTCCATTTTGGGCTACAATAAAAGTTGAGATGTTACAATGAAATGGGCAACATCTGACTACTCCTAACGAAATGAAAATCTGAAGAGGCATTAGTACTTTGAAGAAAAAGAGAGAGCAATAGGGTTTAATGTCTACTCGACGCAAACTAGGTCATTTTGGGACTAACATATGGTTCATTTTATTTGAATAATGCTACCGCAGGGTTTTTAGCAGTGAGAGGACCCCCCCACCCCCCATCCTCCGTGTACTTTGGAGACCTTTGCCAGTTGTTAATTACATAATTTTTAATTAGACATGCCTATTGATTTACATTGGATTATATGCCAAATTTGAGATAAATTTGCCAAGCAAGAAGACACAATTAAGATTAATACGTTTCAACTGCCAACGGAGACAAATTTGCATGGCTAAGATATAAACGTTTTAGTTCACAATTTACATGTTATAGAAAGCTTTAAGTAAACTTTTCAAGGAGCGTATAACTGATCATACTTTAATCTAAGCAGGTCAGTATTTGTATTTTCAATAATTAGGTGAATCTGAATCTAAGGATGCCTGAACGTCATGTTGTCCAAAATTAATGGCTCTTTAATCGAGTTTTCATCATCACAAATCAAAACACCATCTTGATAAACGTCATGCAATATTCACTTTATAAAATCTAAATCAAGGAGGTCAACTTTTTTAAATTGTAAACTATGTAAATAATAGATACATTTTACCTTATCGGCATCAGACAGAAACGTAACTTTTGAATCTTTATAGCCAGCTGTTAGAACATTGCCTAATGACACATTTTTAAAACCTTCATTTTGTCGAATGTCGTCATCTGAAGAAAAGATAGGTTGCCAGGCAATGAAATATACGCCCACAGCAGTCAACAAGAGTTGTTGCATATTTTTTCGATTGTCGGTAATGAAACATTTATAATACACTAAAATCTGATTAAGAGTGACAACTCATTAAGTAATTATCAGAAAATCATTAGAATTTGTTTGGCTTTTAGTTCTGCCCCATGCTAATGTTTAGTATACGAATCATTTAATATCATGTATTTATCAAAATACATTGATAATCAATGTACTTGTTCGTCTCAAGGCCTTAAACTCTGTTTATCAATCTAAAGGCAATTGGATGATAACTTTGGTCTCTAGAGAATCAACAAGATTTTTCAAAGTGATCCAGGGCCATAGCTCTGGTGGTAATTATAGGAAATCATTGAAAATAACTGGGCTTTTTCGTCTCACAACCTTAAACACTATGTATAAATTTAAAGTCAATCGCATATTAACTTTAGCCTCTAGTGCGTCCACAAGATTGTTCAAAGTGATCAAGAGCCATAACTCTAGCAGTAATTATCAGAAATCGTTGAAAATCAATAGGCTTCTTTGTCTCACGACCTTAAATACTGTGTATAAACTTAAAGTCAATCAGATATTAAATTTAGCCTTAGGGCGTCCACAAAGATTTTTCAAAGTGATTAAGGGTAATAATTCTGGCAGAAATTACCGGAAATCGTCTCATGACCTTAAAAACTGTGTATAAATCTAAATTCAATTGGATATTAACTTTAGCCTCTACTAGCGTCCACAAGATATTTCAAAGGGATCAAGGGCCATAACTCTGGCAGTAATTATCGGATATTGTTGAATATCAATAGGCTTCTTCATCTCATGACCTTAAACACTGTGTATAAATTTAAAGTCAATCGGATATTAACTTTAGCCGCTAGAGCGTCCACAAGATTTTTCAAAGTGATCAAGGGCTATAACTCTGGCAGTAATTATCGAAAAATCGCTGAAAATCAATTGGCTTCTTCGTCTCATGACCTTAAACACTGCATATAAATTTAAAGTCAATAGGATACTAACTTTAGCCTCTAGAGCATCCACAAGCAATTGTTGACGCCGGACGACCGGGGGCAACGATATTATACGACCACATTTCAATGTGGGCGTATAAAAAGAAGATATTAAATCAAGATTTTGAAATATAAATAATAATGATCTTTTAGAGGAATTTTGAGGCTTTAATTCTCTAAGGAGCATGTTTAATAATTGACATTTTGTATGCTGATCTGGTCTCCAAGAAATCTACCAACTAATTTTATGTCATGGCTCTGATTGTCAAGACTTAAATATAACTTTAGCCTCTAGAGCATTCACAAGCAATTGTTGAAGTTGGACGACCGGGGGCGGTGACAATATACGACCACATTTCAACGTGGGCGTATAAAAAGAAGATATTAAATCAAGATTTTGAAATATAAATAATAATGATCTTTTAGAGGAATTTAGAGGCTTTAATTCTCCAAGGAGCATGTTTAATAATTGATATTTTGTATGCTGATCTGGTCTCCAAGAAATCTACCAACAAATTTTATGTCATGGCTCCAATTGTCAAGACTTAAATATAACTAAACAAATTACATTAAATTTAGACTGGACAATCAGGTACGGTATCTGTTCCAGAAGCCCGCACAAAATATTGGTTTTGTACAAATTTCGCACTTAAAGATATTGCGAACTACATATGTGGAAGGAAATAAGAATTTGCGTCTTACATACATGTCTTAATAATTCTTATAAATTTATATAGAAAAGATTGAAAACTTACAGTTAGGAATGTTAATACCAGCAGGAATACCACTTCCACCAAATGACAAGACATCTAATGAAGTGAAATCAGGACGTAGAAATGTATCTTTCTCATATTCTGTTGGCCAGGGTAAATGAGCTAGTAGATGTTCAGCATTTTCAACTAATTGTGTAAATTTCATACTCATTTCTTTATTTACCACAGCCACAAAACCTGGTAACAAATAGAGGGCAATAACAGGAATTAGAATGTAGGGTTGGAAATATTATGAATGATTGAAATGGGGCTTAGCATCCTACTTTTCTGCCACAACATGCCTATTGAATATATGTGTGCATGTATATCATAGCAGGCTTTATATGTCATTGAAACAAATAACACCAAGACTGTAACTTGTTTGTACATCAGAAGTAATAATTAATGTAACGTCATACCTTCAAACTCTCCTCTTACACCATAGGGATCTCTGTACGATTCTATAAAGCCAATATACCTACAATAATTATAATTTATACAAATTGATGTGGTAATATCTAATCTAAAGCAGAAATACAATGCATGTTTATAGATCAACACAAGAACTTTCTTAAATACATGTAGTTCTTAAATTTTATATATATGAACCACTATTGTGTTATGAAACTTATTTTTTGATAGTTGTACATTTTATGTGCACTGCTGGTGTGTGTATTAAAATAGCAACTGTTGTCTTCTGTTAATGAAATAACTATCTCTTAGAATGCATATAATTGTGCTTTCTGTATCATTTGTTATATTGTGTAGTTATCCTGAGTTGTCTACTGATAATTCACAATTTACTAAGTATGTTTTGTTAATAATTTTATAAGATTTATAAAAGACATTAAATATATTACATTTCAACAATTGGTGATTTGTTTCTTATCCAGAATCGTGAGCCATCTTTATGAGCTGGTAAAGAACCAGAGGTAAAGCTCTTAATATATTCATCTAACATCCGAGATTCATTGTCATTTGCTGTATACTTCTGAAAACGTAAATCAACTAAAAGATTTAGAATATACAATAGTACAATAATCAACATGATAGTATACACAGTGCATTAACATGTTTTTATGATTATTAAATATTATGATTTTTTTTTTATATAACTGCACTGACAGTAAATAACTTATCTCCAGTCTATGAAGTAGTGTTCAGCCAGTGTTATGTGGATAAGAACGTCCCACCAGTAGCACTGGTGGTATTAATGGTTGCAGTCATCTTCTCCTATGTTCATACAGGGTTTTACAAGCCTATGTCGCGCCCCTTTGCAAACTGTAACTGCTTTGTTTAGTGCCTGCGGCCAGTTGATGTTTTATGATTACAGAAATTTTAAAATACAATTTTTATATGCCCCCATTGAAATGTGGTTGTATATTGTCGTTGGTCCGGCATCTACATGTTACAGTATTTCTTTATATCAGGTTCTGGATGACAAGACTAGTTTAACATCTTATAATACTTTTATTCTTCTTCTAACATATTATATACAAAACTTAAGACTCCGTAATTAGCTTGTGTTGAGGGAGCCATGTCCTAGCTTGGCATAAATGTGCCAACTCTCGGGCGCTCTCCCTGGTTCCGTCTCCTGCCGAGCCAAGGCGCCCACGGCCTCAGCTCTTGTGTCCTGGCCGGACCCGAATGTTGATTCGTTATTAACATACACTGGTTACCTCTAATAAAAACAGCAGTGCATTTCCCCAGTTTTGTATTGTTTCTGAATATCCCCTACTTTTTTAGAAGAGTATAGACGAATGTTCGGAATTTAAAAATATTAGATAGCCAATGTCTCGGAAAAGATTCAGTTTTTCGAAAAATGTTATTTGTTTGAAAATAGGTAAAGATTTTCAAAAAGTTTATATATTAGGATAGCTGACCTAATTACGATTCTAATAATATGTATTGAGTTATTGAAATTTAATTTTCAATATTTTGACATTTTTGCATTTATGGCACATTTGAACATGGGATTCTTCATGGTGATTTCATCTCATATTATTATAGAGCCCTGCGACCATTGAAGTGCCCAAACCGGCTATTAAACTATCCCGACAATGATCTTCATACCGGAAGTATTCAAAAAACGAAAAAAAATAAAGGTTAAAAAACTGGTGCTCTTGCGAAAGAGTTGATTTCTCCGCCAGATATTAACAGACCAAAACAACTCAACTATTGTTGGATAGTCCCATTAATGGACTATCATATGACATCTAAATGATACGATGCTTAGGAAATAAATTATGGTACACCGAAAATCTAGTATTTTCTTCTTTTGGAGCCTTTTGGGACCCCTTTTTTTTTCGAAATCAATACCTACGATTTTTTCGTATCAGTGGTCTATGGCGTGAAAAAAGTTGAAAAATACTTAAATTACTGAAAATGCTCTCTTTTTTTTCTTTTTTTTTTAAAACAGCTCAATGGATGCTTCTGACATTTCTGGTACAGAAAGTTAAGTATCGACACAACTTGTTAAAAGTATCCCGACAATTATCCCAAAACCAGATGGAGTAGAAAAAATATCCCATATACATGTATATATATGAAAAAAAAAACATAAATAAAAAAACCAGCGGCTGCCAGGCAGGATACGCCCACATTTTCGAGAGATGGATAGAAAACAAGCTAAAACAAAAGTGATTTTTCCTACAATCAAGGCCCATAATTCAGGAAATTACAATTCGATATGCGCAAATATCGAATGGAACCAAGATCTTTGGGTTATAAACTTACATTTCAAGTATCAACAAAATCGGATAAAAATTGTGACCTCTATAGGGTCCACAACCTTGATATACCATATTTTTACGCAATTTGAGAACAAGGGGCGGGGTGTACCGGTGATATAATAATACGTTTTTCTTAAATCGGATAAAAATTATGACCTCTATAGGGTCCACAAGCTAAAAACGTGATTTTTTGTACAATCAGGGTCCATAATTCAGTAAGTTACGGTTCGATTGGCGCGAATATCGAAAGGAATCAATATCTTTGGGTTATAAACTTACATTTCAAGTTTCAACAAAATCGGTTAAAAATTGTGACCTCTATAGGGTCCACAACCTTGATATACCATATTTTTACGCTATTTAAGAACGAAGAGCGGCCATTTTGTCTGTCAGTTTTGGGCCGATTTTCACGAAATTCAAACTCAGCAGTCCTTAGGGAGTAGCGGTGATATATTAACACGTTTTTTTAAATCGAATAAAAAATTACAATCAGGGGCAATAATTCAGGAAGTTAAGGTCCGATTGGCGCGAATATTCAAAGGAACCGAGATCTTTGGGTTATAAACTTACATTTCAAGTTTGAACAAAATCGGATAAAAATTGTGACCTCTATAGGGTCCACAACTTTGATATACCATATTTTTACGCTATTTGAGAACGAAGGGTGGCCATTTTGTCTGTCAGTTTTGGGCCGATTTTCACGAAATTCGAATTCAGTCGTCCTTAGGGTGTAACGGTGATATAATAATACGTTTTTTTAAATCGGATCAAAATTATGACCTCTATAGGGTCCACAAGCTAAAAACGCGATATTTCGTACAATCAGGGGCCATAATTCAGGAAGTTACAGTCCGATATGCGTGAATATCGAAAGGAACCGAGATCTTTAGGTTATAAACCTACATTTCAAGTTTCAACAAAATCGGATAAAATTTGTGACCTCTATAGGGTCCACAAGCTAAAAACGTGATTTTTCGTACAAACAGGGGCCATAATCCATGAAGTTTCGATCCGATACATGCCAATATCGAAAGCAGCCGAGATCTCTTGGAGATAAACCTATATTTCAAGTTTCGTCAAAATCAGATAAGAATTGTGACCTCTAGAGTGTCCACAAACAAATTGTGGACGGACGGACGACGGCATAATATGTCAACATGAAAATGAGGGCGTATTAAAATTGTGACCTCTATAGGGTCCACAACCTTGATATACCATATTTTTACGCTATCTGAGAACGAACGGCGGCCATTTTGTCTGTCAATTTCGGGCCAATTTTCACGAAATTTGAACTCGGCTATCCTTAGGGTGTAACCGTGATATATTAATATGGTTTTTTAAATCGGATAAAAATTATGACCTCTATAGGGTCCACAAGCTAAAAACGCAATTTTTCGTACAATCAGGGCCCATAATTCAGGAAGTTACGGTCGGATATGCGCGAATATCGAAAGGAACCGAGATCTTTGGATTATCAACTTACATTTCAAGTTTCAACAAAATCGGATAAAAATTGTGATCTCTATAGTGTCCACAAGCTAAAAACGTGATTTTTCGTACAAACAGTGGCCATAATCCATGAAGTTTCGATCCGATACATGCCAATATCGAAAGGAACCGAGATCTTTTGGAGATGAACCTATATTTCAAGTTTCGTCAAAATCGGATAAGAATTGTGACCTGTAGAGTGTCCACAATTTGTTTGTGGACGGACAGGGGCGACGACAATATACGTCCACATGAAAATGTGGGCGTATATAAATATTCCTAGCACCTGTTGGAAACATTCGTTGCGCATGCCGATTGAATCTAATTACCTAGGTTTGGTCAGCCTACGGATCTATCCGAACCGTGTGACGACGACCTGGACATAAAACAACAGATTATCAATGAACACCTGACACCAAAGACAAGTGTGCGATCAACTGAAGAAGATGAAAAAGATAAATTAACGACAGACTTAACCTATTCAAAATGCCTACGCATGTTAAATGAAATAAAAATTAATGTAATAAAATTTTGAATGTACAGAAAGGTTTATCATTTTTGAAGGGAATAACGTCCTTGGGATTCGAAGCTACTTAAATAATACCTCGAAGTTACAATAATACTTTCGGTTTTGAGAAAACTGAGTATTCCGACAGTCTGCGTAATCCGACATATTGTAACGATCCTGTACGATGTCGGATTATTCCGACAGTCTGCGTAATCCGACATACTGTAACGATCCTGTACGATGTCGGATTTGACAGAGTCCATTGTATATACAGTAATTGGTTATAGATGAAAGTAATAATAAAAGATGAAAGGACAGGTATTATAGAGGTGAACTGAAGCCATAAGCAGTTAATCCTGACAGTAAAAACAAGATGTAGTAAAAGTAAATTTGTAAATAATTAAGGAAATATACAAAATTAAAAACAATAAAAAATATTAAAACTTAAAGAGTAATACTTTATGAATTGTTCTGAGATGATGTATGCTACATTTTCATGATGCGATGATACGCTCTTGGAATGTAAATTCCTGGATCCCTGTTTAGTTTTGTTTATGCCTACGTATATTAATTGATTCATGGGTTCTTCGGTTTCGTTTGTTGTGGCAGTTAACTGCTAACTTTTTTACATTTGTCCAGTTCAATGAGCGGCCATTTTGTCAGGCAGTTTTGGTCCAATTTTCACGAAATTAGAACTTAACCATCACTAGGGTGCAATAGTGATACATTTGAAAGTTTTTTAAAATCAGATAAAAATTGTGACCTGCAAGCTAAAAATATGATTTTTCGTACAATCAGGGGCCATAATCCAGGAAACAACGGTCCGATATGTGCAAATATCAAAAAGAACCAAGATCCTTGCATTATAAAAATACATTTCAAGTTCATCAAAATAGGATAACAAGCCAACAGTGAGGCTGATGTCCCCCGCCGAAATCCCAAAATAAATAGATGACACATAATTAATCGCACATTTATTTTTTTCAAAAGTATCAAGCAATCAAAGTGAATACCAACTATACACTAAGTTTCATCACTTCGATTAGATAGAATCAAAGTTATCTTGTCCAAAAGCATCGACCAATGAAATTGCTTAGCTCAGCTTAGCTTTAGCTCACCATGTTAATCATTGAAGTCAGTCAAGATATTCACCTCAAGTTTAAACATTCTACCTCAATTAAAAGTTGTTACGTTCCAAAGTCTTGACCAATCAAATTGCTTATCATTCCTTAGCCTAAGCAGAAAATTCTCATCATCGAACTT